TGGTTTTAGGCTACTTTGACCAGTCAAAAGTCCCCTTGTGAGAATGCTCAAGAATAACACTCACAGGAAAAAAGTGCATGTGTGAATAATTTTTTTCTTCTGCAATTTGTCTGCTTGTATTATAAAACTGGCCAACGGATTGATGAACAATTTTCCCCTGAACCTCAAGGCTTGTACCCCAGGTCCACCAAAGCACCTGAGCTCAAATGCATCCTGCCACATGGCTCCTTAAAAGCTATGTTAGCAGCAAGGAGGCCTGGCCTGAAAACAACATGGACTGTCCTGAGTTCAGACTGGGGAATGAGACGAGGAGTTTCAGAATCGAGAAGGTTCAGGGAGAGAAGCACAGGTCCAGAGGAGGTGCTCAGTCAAGTGAGGACAAACATGGAACCTCCTTGGTAGGCCCTGAGAAGGAACAGGAACCTATACTTGCACAAGAGCTCGCTGGCTTGCTGACAACCTTTGGGCTCTTGCCACCAACTGTTCCAGCTCATCTGCTGGCATCTTCCAGATTTATGCCCTATTCTGGCAGTCACCCATCTACTGATACCAAATCTAATGATCTTGGAAGTATTTCCTGGAGGTTGTGATTCTGACCATCTGAACAGTTGGGTGGCAATATATATTTTAACATGCTTTTTAAAAAATGCTATTTATCAAAATGCTGCTGGCACATTAATCCTGCTCTATAGGTTTGTGGGATCTAAATGCAACGAAGTAGTCACTCTTGGTGATAGGAAACAAAGAACATTTTGAGGTTTTCCAAACTCATGAGACTTGGCACTCAGCCCTGACTCTGAAGGAAGGGTTCAAAAACTCAAAAGGTCGCCGAAATGCCCGATTTTGTGGTGGAAGAAACAGTTCCTGCTGAAAGCCAGTCAAGAAAAACAGCATTAATTGGAGGAGCGCTGGAAGGGGAAGACTGGACGTCATGTGATTAAGGCTCATTCCTTAGCATGGAGCCATTTTCATGCAAAGCTCTTTGCTCGGACTCAGAACAAAAAAATGGTTCCTGATCCATGCAAAACTCCACTGCTGTCCTCCTCTGAAAAAGAAATGGCTCCAGAGTCATTTGACGGTGACAAACCATCTATTGGCAAGGGAAAGAGTAGATAGAGGCTGGAGAAATGAAGAGCGTGTCCAGTCTCTGGAAGCATTTAAGAGGAAGGGCCCATTGCCCAGAAAACACCAAGGCACCTCACAGACAATTAACATCAAGGGTCAGGCTGGGAAAAATCATTCCCAAACACAAGAACAGAATCCTTCAAACCATGAGGGTGAAGGCAGCCAAATGACATCAGAAGGTGTTCCCAAAAAGCCCTTGCTGACCACCACGTGTAGACTCGTCCCATTTCCAGTTTTGTTCCCAACTCTTTTACATTTCTGTGGAGCTTCCAAAGTTTGTTAGAGAAACCATATTGAAGCAAAAAATAAAAATAAATAAAAAACAAAGAAGGAAGGAAGGAATCCATAGTTTGATTGTTGATCTTCTGTGAACCCATCTGCCTCCTAATTCCACAGGAAAAAAATGGGGGGGGGGGAGGTTGTAGTAGTGATAGGAACATTCTGTACACCAATAAGCCACAGCAAATTTGTCTGAATAAAATTCAGTGCTGGTCTACAGAAATGCACCTTATTACATTTTGAAAGACTCAAGTTTTAGAAGAAAACATGAGCAGGCCTGAAAATGCCACCCTTCAGCATGTTGCCCACAATCCTAGAGGATGCTGTGGTGCAACCATCTCTTACTCAGGGTCAAACAAGTTTTTACTTGCTTAAAAGAAGCAGTTCTAAGACCTCTGCTGAAAAAAGATTCCTTGGAAGATCTTTTAATTATAGGCCAGCCTCAAATATTAAATTCTTGGGTAAGGTGATCAAGAAAATGGTTGCCTCCCAGCTCCCGATGCATCTAGATCAGTGTTTCTCAACCTTAGCAATGTTAAGATATGTGGTCTTCAACGCCCAGAATTCCCCAGCCAGCATGATCCAGATTAAGCTGATTTTCCAGATCCATTTCAATCAGGGTATTGTCTGAAATACAGCACTGGGACTGCTTTAGTTGCATTCCTATACTAGGAATTAGGTCACCCTAAAACTCCTGCAGCTCTTGGTTGCTTTCAGCATCATTGACTTTGATATTCTTCTGGGCCAGCTGCTGGATTTGGGCCTTGAGAGCACTCTCTTGCCCAGAGGTGGGGCTGAAGGGCTATTATTTGACACCTAGGTCGTTGGCCTTTAGCGTCTGTAAGATTTTGTCTCCTATGCTGTTTAACATCTACACGACACCTGCATCTGCAGCACATGGGGAAAGCCGCAGTATTTGGATGACACTCAGATCTACTGTTCCATTTTCTAGCTCCAAGGAAGCAATCCTTGAACCCTTTGTGATCTTGATAACAGAACCCAAGAGGGAGAACACGCTGAAATGAAATCAAAGCGAAGACCATGTTACTGTTGGTAAACAGGAAGCTGGATTCAAGACTGAGGTGAAGGCTCTTCTGGATGGGTTTGCTCTCACTCAAAAAGAGCAGGTTCACTGTCACTGAATCTGCAGGCGACGGTCATGGCGAGGAGCACATTTCCACAACCGTTGCTAGCCTGTCTATTGCAATCCTTCCTAAATTGGTGGGATTAGTGATGATTATTCATGTCTTGATTACAATCTGCCTTGACTACTGCAATGCATTTTTGTAGGGCTGCACTTGAATTGTCTTTGGAAGTTACAAATGGTGCAAAAGGCTGTTGCCAGAGTGCTGGACAGGTATTCTATTCTGGGCAGAGGAGGAGCTGATGTTGACTTGTAATGCCCTAAATGGCTCATGGGCAGCTTGTCTCGTTAGAAACCTACCTGGTTATTTAGATCAGCAGGAGAGGCTAGTCTAAAGACTGTCTCCAGGGCCAGAAG